CTTCTGTATGCATAAATAAATACATCTTTTTACAAAAATAAGGAAAAAAAGCAGCATTCTGCCTTAGCATATGAGTCAAGGCTCCCGGAGAAGCAGAACCCAAAGTCGACAGGAGCCGCTCGTTGCGAGGAATCAGCTCAAGCATGGTGCGGGCTGTGCCCTGATCTGCAGCTGGGACAGACACCCACGAACAGCTGAGGCCGCTGTCCCAACCCCGGGGTCTGCTGCAGACCCCCCGTCCCGAAGAGGGGGCCTCTGGCGTGACGCCGTCCTCACCTGATCAGGTGTGGCCCAGCGGCCAGGGAGGGCAATCTGCTTCTCTGACACAGATGCTTGTGTCCTCCTCCGAGACTCACAGGAACACCCAGAATCATCTCTACCTTGCGGAGGCAGCGTGGCGTGACGGAGAGGACCCAGCCAGTACGGCTGGTCTCAGGCTGGGGTCCGGCTGTCTGGCTTTGCTGGCCCAGACCCACCCAGCAGTGAGCCCAGCACTCCCTTCTTGACAGGGCACCTGAGAGCTGATCCTGGCAGACGGGCTGTGACGCTGCAAGCGGGGTGGGGCAGCTCTGGGTGCCCTGGCCAGCCGGAAGCCTCCGGACGCCGTGGCTCCATCCCGCGGGCAAAGTGGCTGCCGCCCTCTGAGTGCGGAGCGCCCGGCCGCCGGCAGCTGGCGAGAGCTTGGGCTCCCTCACACAGGCGGCCGCCCAGGGACACCGCTGCCTCCTGCCAGGGCCCCAGGCCCGGAGCAGTCCGGCAGCCGGTCCGAGGCGCCTGTGCCCACTCTGCCCCACCGGCAGCACAAGGCCAGGCGACCGGCCAGGGTGCACTGTCCATCACAGCTGCGTCCGCCTCGGTAATCAAAGACTCGGGGCACGGACCCCAGAGACAGGTTAGGGCACAAGAAACACCGAGACTGAGCACTGGGGTGCTTTGGTGTTAAAGGCTTTTGTGGGGACCCCGGCACCCAGCCCAGGTCCCCAAACTATCGCCACAGCGAGGGAAGCGGGCCCGACCAGACCCTCCGCTGCTGGGCTGGGCCCGGGCGCTGCCACGGCGCCAGACACACAGGCGAGAGCAAGGTCGAGACAAGGGCGAGAGAAAGGGGCGGCCCGGACGGGGCACGGGCACTGGGACGGGGCCAGCTCAGCCTCGCAAGGCGGGTGGACATGCGCCCCGGGGCAGACCGATGCCGGCCGGCCAGCGGCGTCCACCTCTGGAAGGAGTCCGGGGGCGCATGGACCCAGGGAGGGCGGGGAGTCCACCTCCAGGGGGCGCGGGCAGGGGAGGCGGGGGCCCAGCCTGGCCCGGGCAGGACCGGCCTCCTGGGGCTGCTGCTGGGCTGGGGGAGGCACACAGAGGCCCCAGGTCAGCGGACACCACTTAGGGAAAGGCAGACCCAGGGGCAGCGGGGCAGCGGCAGTAAGAGTGCCCAGGCTCCAGGCCCCCAGAGGGGCCGGCCTGGGGGTCACAACGGAGGGGTGGTGCCCGGGGTGGGGGCTCAGTGGGCTCCCTGGCAAGGACCCTGGAGGCAAGGGGCGGGGGAGGCCCGCTGAGCCCTCCGGCGGCACCAGCTGCTGCTCTCACCACACGTGTTTAAGGTGCTGTTTTGCGCCAAGCAGCTGCTGCCGGCCGCTCCCTCCATCCCGGCCGCCAGTGACTGCAGGTCCGCAGAGGCTGGCCGCTGTCCCGCGGCCGCAGGTCCTGACTCGCCGGGCGGGGAGGCGCAGCCGGCTCAGCGCCAGTCTCATCCTGCCCTCTGCTGTCGGCTGAGACAAGGCGCAGGGCGGCCCTGCGCTACTGGGCAGCCCCCAAAAGGCACAGGCCCCCCCCCCCCCCCCCCCGCCCTGGGGGGGAGGGGCCAGGTGGGCCAGATCCTTCCGCCTCCACCTCCCTGCTGTGAGCTGCCCCTCTCGGGCCTGCACCCGGAACCCCCATCTGGTAGAGGCTGCAGGATCCAGGGGGCTCCCAAAACCAGAGCACCTCGGCCACGCCATGGGGTGCAGAGGCCACCGGCGTGCTGGCTGGGCAGAGGGGCTGCTCGGACGCGGGCCCCGCCCCACCCCGCGCCAGCGCCAGGTGGCTGAGGTGCTCGTCCTGGCAGAGCAGAGCCCGGGCCGCTCAGAAGCTGGAGTGTCGGGGTCTGCAAAGCTGGGGGCCACACCTCTCCCGAGGCCTGGCCCCTCAAAAGACCCCCATCTGGCAGCTCGCCCTGCTCTGCCCTCCCGCCAGCCCCGGGCGCGGCCTGTGCCATCGGCACTGTCCTTAGTGAAGGCCACTGGGGTGGGTGAAGAGGGAGGGGCGTGGCCCGGCCAGTCTGCAGGCCTGGGCGACACCCCGCAGCCACGACCGCCGCAGTTTGGAAGCCGGCTGGAGGCTCCACAGCAGCTGGCCGGCAGGGACACGGCCACCGCCCTGGGGTCACTGCGACCACTCACGGGCCATCAAGGCTGGCCGACCTCAAGAGGCTGGTGGGGGGCAGCACCGGCTTGCAGGGGTCGGCCCGGGTCCCCGCGGGGCCGGGAGGGTTGGGGCTGGGCGGGCCGCGGGACCCCGGAGCTGCTCCCCGCCAGGTGGGGCCGGCCCTCGCCGCCCTTGGGGAGCAGCATGATACCAAACCCGGCCCCCCCCACGCCTCGGGCCTGCGGCCTTGCAGCGAGAGAAGCAAGCAGCGTCAGTGAATTAAACACACTCAAAGGAGCAGTTCCCTCTCGCCCCTCCCTGTCCTCGGGGCCCACAGGGGCGGGCGTGGGGGCGGGGGGGTGCATCTGCCCCACTCCGCGGAGCCCGGGGGAGGCGCCTGGGCTCAACCGCCCGTGCGGGGCGGCGGGCCTTCCGGGGCGCCGTCCAGTAAATCGCCCTCTGCCTCTGCAGCGCGCCCCACGGGGACGCGGCGGGGTCAGCAGCTCCTGGCCATTCATAGAGAGCGGCAGGCGGCGCCAGGCGAGCAGGCCCAGCCTGGGGGAGCTCCGCGCTGCACCCCAGCTTGTCTACCAGCCTGGGGGCGCGTGGCGGTGGCGCCCAGAGTTCGGTCACTGGAAACGAAGCTGCTCTCCAGAGCACGGGAGTCGCCTCAGACAGCTCTGGGGTTGGCGTGAGCACGTGGACACCCCCAAAGCGGCGCCCAGTGCCCAGCCGGAGCCGGAGCAGAGCCCTGTGGGTGGCGTCGGGCAGAGCGGCGAGGCGCGGCCCCCAGCGAGGGGTGCCCACTGCTCCCGGCCGGGCCTCCTGGCTCTCTCCCGTTCAAGTACGCCACCCTCCTAAGCCCAAACAAAGGTCCGGTGTGGGGGGCCCTCAGCCGCAGCCCCAGCCTCTGGCCGGAGCAGACCTGCCGCCCGGGGAGCACCTGCGGGCGGCCGCGGCCGTGCGGAG